TGATTTTACTTTTATTATCTTATGATTCTAAATAAATACTCAGAGAAGCATGGTTTGAGGTCTTCAGTCCAGAACTGCTGACCCCCTGTTTTATGTTCTCTGCTCTATCTCATTCCTGGCTGTTTGTCTCTTTATTAATAATTATAAAATTATTCTATTCTTTGGGACCCTCGGTCTGCAACAGGTCACTATGAGTCGCAAACAACTTGGTGGCACATAACAACAACAACAACATTGCCACCCGTGTCTTGAATTTGTTTTTCAACTCCTTCAGCTTAAGAAATGCTAAGCGAGTCCAGCCCTTTTGATAGGGCACGGTATTTCCCTGGACTGTCCCTCTGCCTGTTTCTCTCTTTGCAGACCACGAAATCCCACCTGGGAGACCCCTTAATAAAGCTTCTTCAGTTTCAAAAAAAAATGTGTCTTTGGTCAGGAACACCATAGTCTTCAAACCAACATTGTTGCTCTTTAGTTATTTTGGAGAGCTTCTTGATACAATTTTTCCCCTGTGCAACACATCTTCTGATTTCTTGACTGCTGTTAACCATGGCTTTTGATTGTGGATCCTAGTGAAATGAAATTGACATCAGCTGGTTTCAAGAACCCAACCTAACCCCAGAACTAGCCCATGATTTTCTGCTCCAGAGGATGGAGTCTGGCTGCCCTCTGAGCCCTGCCCCTCTGTAGTTGCCTTTACTGTCCTTAGGAGACCTGAAGTTGTGTGGGGTGTTGGCTTGAATTGTAGACATGCAGGAATCTGGCCCTCTGCAGGCTGTAGTAAGCCCAGAGCCTCAGTAGGTGGCACTGTGGCTCTGAGGCACAAGGCTGAAAGAGCTGGTGATGTGAAGGGCCTCACCAGCCTGCCTTGGGGTGCTATCCACCCACTGAATGACCTAACTCATCTCAGATACCCCAGGGACTGCCTGGTTGGTGGTAGGGTCAACTCACAGAGGAACTTGGCAGGGCTCACCCACTCACAGGCCTCCCTCTGCTTCCTTCTAAGCCATCAGCTTCCGGCGCTGTCCTCCGAGAAGGAAGGGGCACTGGTGACAGGGCCTCTTTCTCTCTGTTAGGTCCTGTCACGCCATGTTGTCGAGAGACTCTGCTGCCTTCCTCATTACTCAGCTTCCCGAGGAATGAGCCACCTCCTTGGCATCCAGAACCTTCTCCTGAGGAAGCCCAGTTGCTTGCAGTCCTGCTGAGTCAGGCCCGTGTGATGGGGAAGTCAGGCACTTGGATCACTGCTGCTGCTCAGGGCCACTGCCCCTCTGTCAGGACTTCTCCTTTTTGAAGTGCCCTTGGCTTGAAGGTTCTCACAGACAGCAATCTAAGAACCACTCTCCTTGGAGGTCAAGGCCAAAGTGTGAAACTGCAGGAGGAAGAAAAGCAACACTACGTCTCTTCTGGGGTTATCTGACCACACATGTTTCAAGTGCCCAGAGTGCTGAAGGGACCCACCCTGCCCCCTGCCCCAGGGAGTGCTGTGTAGAGGAGGGTGGTCTGACATTCCTTGGGTCCACATTGGAGCTTGTTTGGGGAGAGTAGAAAGGACTTTAGGACTGAGGGTGCCACGCAGAGGAGGGAGGGCCGGGGCGCATGTGCATAATCCACCCATACAGCTGCCTGCTGTTAGCTTGAATCGGGGCCTGTGTGGGCCAGGGGGCTCCTGCCTGCAGATGGTGATGACAGGGAAGGGACGTGGTGACATCTGTCCAGGTTATGATGGGGAGGGCATTGGCACAAGTTCTGGTTTCAGTCAGGGCTGGAGGATGCTGTGGACCAGCCTGGCCCACCTTCACAGGGGGAATAGTCAGGCTGGTGTGCTGACGTGAAATAACACTAGGCAAGAGCCTCGATTCCTGTGGAGCATGGGAGAAAGAGAATGCAGAGTGGGCTCCCCTGCAATGGGTGCTTGAAGGAAGAAAGAGAGCAGGATCTGAAGGGGCTCAGTGTTAGTTGGGGTGTAAGTTTGGGGTAAAGGAAGCTTGGAAGTCTGAGGGAGAATCGAAGTTTGCCAAGAGTAGAGGTAGAAGGACCTGGCACATGACTGAGTGACCACATTCTGGGCAGGTGACTAGCAGTTCTGGACTTGAGGCAGACGCGCATTGGCCAAAGGCTGACTAGGAGGGACTGGGGTGACTTTGGTGGCCTGTCCCAGGGCACTTAAAAAGGCTCAGGTTGTCTGGTGGGAAGGGGGCTCGGAGGGGCTAGGGGAGAATACTGGGCACTGCCACTGCCCTAGGCCTGCCCTCTGTATCCCCTTGGCTCCTGGGGGCCCAGCTGAGGAGGCCACACCCATGGTTTTTGCAAGCCAGGGCCCTGCCCTGCAGTGTCCACTAGATGGCGTCCCTAGCCTTCCTACCCCCACTCCCAACCCCAGCCTTGCTCCTCCTCAGGAGCATCCCATCCCCACAGCCACAAGGCTGGCGCTGGGGCTCAGTAAGGCCTGCCTTTCTGACTAGGGCTCCAGTGACTTCCGGCCATGCCAGTGTGAGTCAGGCTTCTGGGGTAGCACGTTGTCTGTCCACCGCCAGGACGTCCGCCCAGTGGGGGGCAGGCAAAGCCAGGAGAGAAACTTGAGCCCTAGGCCACGAGCTTCCTGGATGCTAATTTTAGAGAGCACATGGCGCTGGAAACACACCTCTTCTGCCAGGAACCAGCTGCCTGGCTGGGTCTGCGCAGCAGGGTCTAGGGCCCCTCCCCACACCAGAAGGAGCCAAGGGCTGTGTGGCCTGAAAGTAGAGGGGCTCATTGGCAGAGCAGTCACTCCAGGGTCCCGGGGGTGATGGCAGGGCCATGCAGGGAGCACCCCTCTTGGGGGCCTTGGCCAGTCTTTTCTCTGGCCTGAGCTGCAGGTACAGATGACAGGATCCTGTGGGAGGGCTTGGCACAGTCTCTCTGAGCAAGCTCTTCAGTTCTGAAGCCGGTTTCCCTTCCCTGGGCTGCTTCCACATGGCCCGGGTCCCCTTGTCAACCTGACATCTTTCCCAGGCATGCCCAAGCTCCTTCACTGAGCCTTGCTCTTCTCGTGGAATGGAGAGGGCTTTTCCTCCTCATTGTTCTGCCAGATGCGATCACAAGGAAGGTGTGTTTTGGGAAATGGATCAGGCCATTCTGTCTGTGTGGTGGCCAGAACCTGCCCCTGCTGCCACCTGCTGCCACCTGCCAGCCTCTTTTGGCTGCTTTTGACCCAGACTCCTCTGTCCCTGTGCCCTCTGGGCTCTAACATGTAGCAGGTGTGTTTTGGCAGCAGCACGTTGGAGCACGTGTACGAAGAGAGTAGAGGGTCTGTCTTGTTCCTTATCATTTGGCAGAAACTTGCTCGCCCCTTTGAGCCCAGAACATGTAATGGGGGAGACCTCTGTCTTTAAAGTTGAACAAACACTATGAAGTCCAGCTAGGTTAGCCTCAGACTTGACCTTCGACCAGGTGCTGTGACCTGCTGGCTTGGTTTATTCTGTGCAGTGAGTGGCCACCTCCCTGTAGCTGCGCTAGTGCACCCAGGAGCTACCTGGAAAATCTGCTGAAGATGTGTGGAGACCCCTCCCTGCACCTGTCAGGGACCTCCCGTGGGTCCGTCTTTCTCCTCCTGCCAGATCCAGGCAGTGTCACCTGGCTGACCTGATTCTTTTCAGAGGGCTGATATGGGTTGGGGACTAGTACAGAGCAGAACACCCAGTCAAGTTCACACTAGCAATTTTCCTGTCTTTGTCCCCTTGTTCCTCTATCTACAGCCTGCTGCGACGCCTGGTGACTCTTATCTCCCAGCAGGCCACGCTGCTGGCCTCCAATGAAGCCTTTAAAAAGCAGGCAGAGAGTGCTAGTGAGGCTGCCAAGAAGTACATGGAAGAAAACGAGCAGCTGAAGAAGGTGTGTTTCCCTGCTCTGGCCCCCTCTCATGGCGCCCAGGGACCCTTGAGGCAGCGCCTCCCTCCTCGTGGCCAGCTCCCTGCTCTGGCCACACTCAGAACCACTCTGCTGTTTGTCCAAATGCCACAAAGGTTTGATGGACAAGTGAGAGGTGTTTTGTGGGCATGGCCTTGTGGTGCGGGGGCCGCCTAGGGGCCAGGGAGGGGTCAGTCTAGAGGAGCAGCACTTTGGTTCAGCTGCCTTTCCTCCCATTCCTGTGGGCCTTCTGGTCAGAGGCTGCTGCTGCTGCTGCTGCTACCTCTTGGGGAGGTAGTACCTTGGATTTTGGGGTTCCCCTCAGCCAGGTGGTGTGGAGGGTTCTGTGATACGGTGTGCTGAATCTCCAGAGGAGCCTTGCTGGAGAGACGGCAGCTGGCGGGGTGATGGTGAAGGTAGAGTGCGCAGCCTGGACACTGGAGCAGGTGGCACAGCTGGCTCTGCCCTTCCCCTCAGCAGGCAGCCAACCTGTGGCCTCGGGTAGGGAGCTTAGATGTCACAGTGGAGCAGTTCGGTGCTGACATTTCTAAGGGGCAAGTGCCCAGGGCAGTTTGAGGAATGGCAGCCGCAGTCCCTCTTGAGTAACCCAACCCTTGGCTTTTTTCCTAGGAAGCTGGTGTTGACAGAGGCAAGCTGCGAGTTGGGGAAGCCGAGGTGAAGGTGGAGGAGGAGAACAGAAACCTGAAGGCTGAGCTGAAGAAGCTGAAGGAGGAGCTGGCCAACAGCAAGCAAAGTGAGAGCTGTCCTCAGATGTCCCCTTCCCCACCACTCCCCAGAAGGTTGGAGCCACCCCTCCCGTGCCGGAATATGGTTAACAATGAACCTTACACGCGTGCATAGTGGAGCTCAGCCCTGACTGGAGAGCCGGGTGGAAACACACATTTTGCACCTGCTCCTCCACTCCCAGCTGTATGGGGGTGAGATGGCCCTGGTGAAGCACCTCAGTCACCCAGGGCCTCCTGTGAGGCCTGCAGGTGAGCCCAGGAGCTGAGGACCGCCCTGTCAAGGGTTCAGAGAGAGGCTCAGGCCAGGAGGGAGAGGTTCAGGAAGGGCGTGGACAGGAATTTGTAGCTGGGTTTTTCAAACCTAACCAGCTGTCACGTGGAGTCAGGACTAGAGCAGCTGCCAGTGGGCCCAGGCCCAGGCAGGACCGTCCAGTCTTCCCCAGAGCTGACAGCTCGGCCACTGCAGCACTCCGCGTGGAAGTCGGAGCTCTGAAGTAGGCTGTGAGCTGAAGGTCATAGCTGTGCTTTTGGTCCATCGGTCTTCCCCTTAGAGAAGGACTGAGCCCCACAGCTGGCACCTGCTCCCTAACACTGCCCTGTCTCCCTTGGTTGTGTTGTTTCCAGAACTGGAGAAGGCTGAGAACAAGGTCCTGGCCATGCAGAAGCAGTCTGAGGGCCTGACCAAGGAGTACGACCGCCTGCTGGAGGAGCACGCCAAGCTGCAGGTCAGCCAGCGCTGCCATTCCCTGGACGCGTGGCGGGCAGGGTCCTCATGGTCAGCGTCAAGGCTGACTGGGAAAGCCTGCGCTGAGGGGGAGAGCTCCTAGGATCCTGCATCCCTGGCAGGGCCCTTCTTGTGGCATCAGTGCCCATCCACTCCTCCCCACCCTGAGGCCTGCCCTGGACTGTAGTACCTTGCCTACCCCTCCCCAAGGCCCTCCTCAAGGCCAAGTCCAGTGGTGGGGCACTGTCGAGGAAAGAAGGCCCAGCGTGCAGGAAGGGCCTTTTGTGCGTTCTGGGCTGAGGAAGAGAGGGGCTCAAGGACAGAGGCGCTGTCTCAAGTAGTGTGTTCCCTGTCTGGTGAGGGGCTGTCTGCCTGCTTTTTTGCTGTGCTAAGGTTCTCAGGTGGGCTGGGCATGAGATGCCAGATGTCAAGCATGTCAAGCACAAGCCCTGCTTCCTGACAGGTGCCTTGGCGCTTGGCAGCTGAGGTGTGAGCGCTGTGGAGAGTGAAGAGGGCAGGCCCGGAGCCGGGCGGCCCACAGGTTGACCGAGTCCACGTGGGGGCAGGGTGTCTGAGGAGTGAGGAAGGACAGCACCCCCTTGGAGCTGTGCTCCCCTCAACCCTCGCTAAGGGCTGAAGGAAGTGGGTGGTGCTGGAGGCACAAGCTGTGGTCCCTGCCAGTCCATTGCTTCAGGCTGTGTGTCCTCTGCAGGCGGCAGTTGACGGTCCCACGGACAAGAAGGAGGAGTGAGGAGAGGCTCTCCTTTCCTGCAGTGGCTCCACCGGCACGCGTTCAGGCACGCGCTCACAGCACGCGCTGACGTGGCCTCCGCTCGCTGCCTCCCGCCAGCCCAGACTCCCTTCTGTTGCTTGTAACCCTCCCCACAGCCCCTGCCCCTCTCCAGCAGCCGATGGGCCTGGTTTCCACAGAGTCTGCTCTCACTGCCCAGCTCCCACTTGCAGTGGGCAGATGGCCATGTGACTTGGCCTGGGGAAGAGCTGCCCCCGAGGGCCCCCTTTGCCCCCCCTAGCCCTGCAGGCTGCAGTTCTTGGGCAATAAAAGTGGTTGTTATGACGCAGCCTTTCTTTCCCACCTCAGAAGCCCTGTGCTGGCCAGGAGAGTGACAGATGATGTTCTTGAGGAGACAGCATTCACCCTCTGGGGCTTTGGGAAATCCTAACGGGTCTTTTCCTAGGGCACAGGCTCTAGGCGGAGGGGCTACCTCCAGCCCTGCTCGGGAAGGCCGCAGCCTCTGCCACACTGCCAGCTGGGTGAGGCCCGCTCCAGGCAGCCTAGGAGTGTCAGTCTCCTGGGGCTTGGCAGCTGGAGCCGGGGGCCAGTGAGACACAGGTAAGCTGGCAGGGCCTCAGGCGACAGCCTGCAGTGTGACTTCCTCCTCTTCACATTTGGGACGGAGAGAACTTGGCAGAGTGCCACCCGTCACTCCCTACCCTTCGCTCTCTTGAAGGTTTGCAGGATGACCTCTGACTAATGCAACTGAGAGAGAGAAGGCTTGTCCTTGGCTGTGACCGTGAACTGACGGAAGGCAAAGCAAGGCGGGGTGTGTGTGGGGGAATCCAAATGGGTTAGAACTTCAGCCCCAAGGAGTGGGCACTGCTTACAGCCTGAGGTTGCTATGCTGAGGCTTCAGGGAAGTGGCCTTGAGTGTCTTGAGGTTAAAGTCCAAGCTGTGTGTTTACCAGGCCCTCGGCAGCAGAACGCCCACCTGCTCCAGTGCCTTGGACTTGCTCATCTCTCCCATGACCCTGCGAGTGCTGCTCTGGGTCCCACCCTGAGTTCCTGGCCCGGGAGGCAGTGGAAAGGCCCAGTGCCCAATCCTCATTCTAAAGGCTAGCTTACCTGTCACTGTTGCACACTGACTTTCCTGTCCCGAGCTGTCCAGCCAGTAACTGCTGCTCTGGCCACAAGGCTGTCCTGGGGTGACTGATCTTTCCTCATGCTCAAAATTATGCCCTCAACAGAAGTGGCTAGACACGGTCTCTTGATAAACCTTCCCAGTGGTTCCCAGGGCTCTCAGGGAGCCCTGTCCACCCACTGACCAGTCTCTCCACCACGGGCTTTCTGGGAAGGAGCTGGGTACAGCGCAGGACTCGATAGGGGTGGACACGGTGGCCTCGGGCCCCATGCAGCAGTTGCATCCAGGCGTGAGTCCAGGAGGTTAGGGCCATTAGGAACGGGCCAGGTGCCCTCTGCTTTGTGGACGGCACTTGCTGTGAGGGAACCACACAAGAGCAGTTGTGCAAGGTCAGAGGGTTGTGGGGTGAAGGTGACCTTGGAGAACACCAGCAGTGATGACATGGTGGCCTGATAAGGGCTTGTGCCTTTTGCCTGCCAGTCTGGGTGGGGTTCCACCTTCCACTTGCCGCCAGACCCTGCCTTCAGGACTAGTCTCCCCTCTTGTATCTGAAGCCCACCCAGCAGGACTGCCTTGCCAGTCCCCACCCTGTCCACAGGGCTGTCCTCCAGGCCACCAGCCATCTCCTGCCAAACCTGCTGAGTGCATCATCGTCCCCAGCCCACAGCATGTGACAGCTCGTCACCAAGGAGCTCCCTCCCCGCTGAACACGTGGGCCTTGATCTGGTTCTCCCTGCCTACTCCCAGGGGACCTGTTTACTTCCTGTGACTCCACAGTGTTCCCTCCAGTCCAGGACTCCCTGAGGCCCAGCAGTCCCCACTTAGATGGCCCCCCTCCTGCACAACCTGCCCAGAGCACCTCTCCCCACCCCCTCCCTGAACAGCGCCTGGTTCTCCAGTCCCTCACTTGCAACCCGCTTTCCAGAGGCAGTAAATCACATGGGAGGGAGGTGGTTGCCCATCTTTCTCCCACGGAGCAGCAGCTGGCCGACCCAAGCCACATGCCTTTCGTTTGAAAGCCCAACTCCTTGCCACTAGCCCCCAGAGCTCCCTCCATCCTTCCTGTTACTGTATCAAAGGCACTCACTCAGTAACCCTGTGGATCTGAACCTTGCCCTATCCCCGGCCATCCTCGTGGTCTCTGTTAAAAGGCCAGATCTCCAAGGTGCCACCCTTGGGCGCGCTCTCAGTCCTGCATCCTGTTTGTTCATACCTCCCTCCCCGGTGGACGCCACCTTCAGACCAGACCGCTGCCCTGAAGACTGCCACGCCCACCACCTCCACTGCGAACCCCAGCTTTCCCGGGGTGTTGCTGCAGCACCCTCCCTCGGCTCTTCCCTGGGCATCTGCCGGACCTGTGCCCTCACCGCCTTCGGGCATTCTCTAGGCAACCTTGATGGGTGTGCAGGCCAAGTGTCTGCTGCACACCCACCGTTCCCGGCTCGGTTTGCTCTTCTTTCGGGCACTCTGACCCTTATCTCCCCGACTCTGTCGGCAGTTTTCCACGGGGTTGGGGGGGGGGAAGGCTTTCCATCCGCAGCGTCCCCACGGTACGGCCCTGCTCTCATTCGGAGACAGTGCTGGGCACAGAGGTGCTCAAAGCCTCGCTGAGTGCAGCGGCCCGACACCAGGAAGGCCCCCTCCCCCTCCTTCTGCGCCACCCCCACCTTCACCCCCAGGAAGACAAGGTATGAGCAAGGACCACTTTGGAAGATGGCATGTTTTTTATTGCTATGTCTGCAGTGGCTTTTGAGCCCCGTGGACCCCTGCCCCAGACCCTCCACCAAGGTCAGGATGTAGGGGAGATCCTTTTCGGGGTCCACTCAGCTGTCTGGGCTTTGACATGACACTGACGTGCGTTAAAGCGGCTACGTTTTAGGAAGGCTTCACTTGTGGACAGGGCATCGGCGTGGAGCTTACAGGCAGTAGCCATGCCTGGGCCCCCTTGCCTCGGATCCCTGCCAGGGAGTAGCAGGGTGTGGGTGTGCTTGAGTCCACAGGACAGAATCCTGCACCTCTCACTCCACAACCTGTGGGCCCCCATGGCTGTGTGAAAAGCCCCACCCCGCCCCTTCCCAGCCGCCTGGGACAGAGATCACATGCTGACTTGCACACTAGACAGCTGGAAGCTTCGGTTTTGCCTATGAAAATTAAGAGCTAGGAATTCACACTCCTGGGCTAGGGGAGAGGAAGACAATGGGTAAAGGGGGAGGGAGTGGTAAGGGGGGCAGTTTAGGTGGTTTTCTCTTTAGAAATAGACAAGCAGAAATCTCACTCTCAAGTTTTTATAAAATGTGCAAAATACACGCCTTGTTTGCTCACGGGTGCAGGTCCACCTGGTATTCACCTTTGCTAAGAGACAGCTCTAGACACATGCTGGTCGCACAAGTACTCACAGGTGCGCACACACTCGATGGCTGTGGCCGTGGCAACCGGCACGGGAACCTCAAAGTCCCACTGCTGGCTGGCTCTAAGCTGCTAGAGCAGGCACAGGGAGGGGCTGGCCCAGCTGCAGGCTTGGCCTCAGTCACTGCCATCCCTGTGCTCACCCATCTGAGGGTACACAGGCCGGCCCCCAAGAGTAGATGGGTTACAATAGAGCCCCGAGGGAGAAAGGGGCAGGGTGGGCCGGCAGGCCACGGAGCTGCTGGGAGGGATGGTGGCGGGCCTAGAAAGCAGCGTGTGCACCAGCGGGACTGGAGACAGGGTGGGGAGAGGCCCTTGGGTAGGTTGTGGTATTTTTGGCGTTTTTCTTTCAAATGTGAAAATTATTTTTGTTAGCACTCATGGCACTTCCCCCTCCAACCCTAAACTGTCAGGGAAAGGCTGCCCCCTCCTCCAGAGTTGGGGCAGGGGCAAAGCGGGGGGCTACGATGGCTACAAGAAGGGGAGCTGGTGATGTAGGCCAGGAGGCTGTGCGGTCACATGACGCTCTCCACTACGACGACAACCTTGCTGCTCTCGGACACTGGGGTCAGGGTGGTCAGGCCCCTGACATCTGAGTCCTGAGCTCGGTACTCCAGGTGGTGGGGGCCCCACACGGGCTGGGTGAGGTGCTGCCAGCGCTGAGGAGGAGAGGTGCACCGTGAGCCCCCAAGAGCCGCTCTGCCTGGTCCAGGGGCCCACACCTCCACCCTGGCCCTGCCCAGGTGCCCACTCACAGCCCCATTTCTGCACTCTGAGACAGGTGGAGTGGTTGTGGGGACTCGGGGGGAGGAGATGAGAGGGTCCTGACCTCAGCCATAGTTCCTTTGGCCCTGAGGAGGCAGCCCAGGAGGTGGAGGGGCACGCAGATCATGGAGGAGAGTGCGAAGCCCCAACCTATGGCTTCACCCCACCATGGGTACACGTAGGTGTTGTTGTACACCAGCGGCTGATAGTACACCACGTTGAAGATGAAGATGCCCTGGTAGACAAGTGACAAGCAGATGACAGACACACCCCTTGGACAGATGGCTGGACTTCCAGCCTAACCCTGGGAGCTACCCCCAGACCCCAGTCCTGAGGTGGCAGACAGCGCGCCCCCCCTCCCGGCCCTGCCCGGCCGGCCACCCACCCACTTTACCATGCAGACTAGCGGAGTGAAGAGGACCCAGCACCACTTCATCCAGGGGCACGGCCGGTACCCGATCATGCAGGCTATGTCGTCCATGAAGCGGTCGGCTCCTGCGCCAGGGGAGAGAGCGAGGCTGGAGCCTGGAGCGCGCAGCCCACCTGCCCACCTGGCAGCCCTGGTCCCGGCCCCGGCCCCACAGCACGTACCATACACCCAGGCCACCACCACACACTCCCAGAAGGCCTGCCAGAGCAGAGTTGTGCCACTGGCCGAGTAGTAGTCAAACAACTGGAAGACGTACATCCCGCCCTGCAGGGGGCACATGTTGGTCAGGCAGAGGTGGGGGGAGCTGGGAGC